AAATTATACATTGCAATAATATGACCTTTTTCTGCTGCTTTTTGATACAAATGAAAGGCTTTTTCTAAATTCTTTTCTGTTCCTTCTCCATTTTCATAACATATGGCTAAATCAAACATTGCATCAGTATAACCATTTTCTGCTGCTTTTTGATACCAATAAAATGCTTTCTCTGAATTCTTTTCTGTTCCTTCCCCATTTCCATAACAGTTGGCTAAATTATACATTGCTTCTTTATTACCATTTTCTGCTAAGTTTTCTAAATAATTAATACATTCTTTACACCCCAATTTTTCAGTAAAAGGTATATTGCAATATGAATAATTTTTGGTTTTTATTATATCAGTTTCATTATTTGAAATATTTAGTTTACTAAATTCAGTTTCCATTTGTTATTTTGATTTATTGAAAAAAATTTAATTTTTTTTAGACAAATTTTTTGACAAAAAAAATGTTTTTTCTTATTCAATTATCATGAATGAACAACCAAAAAGAAATATTTTAACCAAAAGTAGAGGTTACAATAAAAAAAATTTTTAGGGCCAATGTTATCCCTAGTTATATAAAGAGTTGCAACATGCTGTCCTGCTGTTGTGCTATCATGCTGCACAAAAATGATCATGTAAAAAATTAAGGTTTACTGTGCCAAGGCTGTACAGCCAACCAGGCCTATTATTTTTATTATATTTATTATATTTGTTATATTTAATTTATTTATTATACTTATTATTTATTATATCTATTATATCTTTATATATGTATCTTCGGAGAAAAAATGGATTAGGTGGTCTGTTATTTTTGCAAATAGCTGTAAAATTTAAACTTAAAAATTAAACCGAACTGAGACTCCAAAAATTCGGATTGACGTAAAATTGGGACGTTTTATTAATTAATCATCATCACATGACCTACCTGTGTCTTTCATGAAAGTCCGAGCCGAACGAGCCGCTCCCATCCCTAATTTTGAGTCTATTTAATTATCATAAATATTTTCATTAAATTTACTTTGAACTACAACCGGTGTCCAATCACCGGTCTCATGTGAATAGTAAGAACCACCACGTGATTTTTATGGCGTTTAAATTTTGGCTCGTATCTTAAAAAAAATCGAAAAAAAAAATCCTTAAAATATAGAAAATATATATATAATAAAATTATTTTACTCCTTTTATAATAAGCACGCCTAAAAGATAACTTTTGATGCTTTACACTTTAAGTGTTTATTTATTTTTTTTATTCAATTTTAATAAAGAAATAATTTTTCAAATACACAATTATAAAAAATTCAATTTAATATCATAATTTCGGGACAACGACCCTAGCATCGCCACCGAAAAGTGGTAGCTGTATTTACTTGTCGGTTATACATGCCGGTTACATATGATTTTGGATCAATCACGTTATTTAAAAATTTTTTCTTTTTTTCACTATAATTTTTTTTATAAACTCATATTTAAAAGAGTCACTTAATAAACCCAAACGATATTTATGGTTAGAAAATGTTCGTTCAAATTTTAAGTAATTAGAGAAAACTAAAAGACATAAGATCGTCAAACTATGCCAAGAACCCGAAGGGTTTTAATAATACAATGTATTGGGAATAATTATATTAGAAGTATAAAGAACATAAATATTGTTCATCCCAGTATATTATTTAAAAATATAACTATAAAAAAAATTTCTATTTGTAAAAAATAATAAATAAAGATCAATAACCCTAAAATTCGATAAATCGTTGATTTGATTCTAAAGTGATCATCACATGTATAACCAGCTGGCTACCATTTTTTGTGGCGATGCTGAGGTTGGTAATTCAGGACAATAGAATCATATGTGCTAATGGTATTAATTCTATATTAAGATAATTAAGATCAGTGCATCAGAAATAATATGGTGTTGACTGGCTCAGCACGCCAAACAGATTAACTATGATTTGCAGGCAGGAAGATTAAGTACGTCCAACTATGACTGAAATCCAATCAAACAAGACACTGAAAATAGGGAACTAAAAAATAACAATACATTTTGTTTTATCCAAAATATCAATTGCTGAGCAAATGAACCAAATCACGAAGTTAATGTTGGGACCATTGTGTTATAGATAACGACTGGTGTCTCTGCAAAAACTAAAGGCCTGAGGGCTAACAACATTATTAACCATTTTAGAAATTGTTTTTTATGTAAATTTAATTAAATTAATAAAATTTTGCCGCTTTTGGAATTAATTTCAACGTTCTATGCTCAATTTTAAATTTTTTTTTAATATTATATTTAATATTAATTTCTAATAATAACTTCAAAATTATTTAATATATTAAAAAAAAAATGACATGAAAGAAAAATTTATAAAAACTAATTATTCACTCTATAAAAAAAGAATAATAAATTACATTAATTTTATTAATTTTTTTAATTAATTCGTTTTACCCAAATATTGATCTTGTACCATATTATAATAAATTCCTTTTCTTGCTAATAATTCTTGATGAGTACCTTTTTCAGCTACTTTACCATCTTTTATAACGAATATAATATCAGCATGTTGAATGGTTGATAATCTATGTGCTATCGCTAACGTAGTTCTACCTTTTGCAGCTTTATCCAAAGCTTCTTGTACAACTTTTTCTGATTCAGAATCTAAAGCTGAAGTCGCTTCATCTAATAATAAAATTTTTGGATCACGTATTAATGCTCTTGCAATTGCGATTCTTTGTTTTTGTCCACCTGATAATTGAGTTCCTTTACTACCAACAGGAGTATCATATCCATCTGGTAGACTAATAATAAAATCATGAATATTAGCTTCCTTACAAACTCTTTCAATATCATCTTGCGTCGGTCTTTGATCTGATTTACAACCAAATAAAATATTTTCTTTTATAGTCATGTCATATAAAGAAGGTTCTTGATTAACAAGTGAAATATGTTTTCTTAAATCATCAACATTTAAAGTACTTATATCAACTCCATCTATTTGGATTGTTCCACTTATCACATCATAAAACCTTTCAATTAATCCTATTGTAGTACTTTTACCACATCCTGATGGTCCAACCAATGCAGCAAATTGACCTGGTTTAATGTTTAAATTAAGACCATTAAGTACTGGTACATTATGACGTGTAGGATATCGAAAATAAACATTAGAAAATTTGACATATCCTTTAACATTATCAATATTTTTTCCATCTTTAGACCAAGAATCTACTTTTGGAACATTTTCAATTAATTTTATAATAGATTCTGCTGAAATTTTTGCTTTTGTTATATTTGGTGCGTAACTAAAAATACGTCCACTTGACATCGCTCCGAAAAGTACTGAAATTAAAAAAAAAAGTTTAATTTTTAAGTTGAACGACATTTGGACATTTGGTATGCAATAAAAATTATGAAATATATATTACCTGCCATAAACACAGTATAAAATTTGTATACATCATATTCTCCATTCGTAAACTATCATAATAAAAAAAAAATATTTTTTTTTTTAACAAAAATAAAAATAATTTTTTTATAAATTAATAATTATTATCATACATACCAAAAGAGTTCCATACCAAAATGCTAAAGCATTAGAAAGATAATTCATACTAGCTGCAAACCCATAATTTAAACTACCAAAAATTGCATTATGATATCCTTCTTTCATTGGACCATCCAACATATCACTATATATTTTTAATAAATCTTCTTCTCTTGTTAAAGAAGCGACAGTACGGATATTAGATGTTCCTTCACACGCTATTTGTGCCGATTTTTCATAAACCTTTAGTGTACGTGCTTTGAATCCCGCCATCATCTTATATCTAAGATAACCGGCGGTCATTAACAAAGGTACCGTTGTTAATACTACAAGTGTTAACTTCCATCCAACTATTAATGCAACTATAATTCCCACTATGATTGTAGAAAGGGTTCGTGAGATAGTACCAAGTGTAACACCAGCCAATCCACCAATATCCGTTACATTCGATGTTAATATACTGATCAAAGCGCCAACATTATTATCTTCTTTATCAAAGAAACTAATATCTTGTCGTAATATTGAAGAAAATGATATCGAACGAATCCGAAGAACGAGGTTTTCTCCGGCTATTCCGAGACATAAACCTTCAATCAAACTGCATATCATAACAACAACACCGATAACAACTAAAGAAAATTATAAAAATAATTAGTAAATATAGATCTTAATACCATAAATAAATACATTAATTTAACAACTTACGAAACATAAGTGACCAAAATTTTGCATCCTCTCGTAATTCATCTTTAGGTTTCGTAAAAGCATCTATAACTTTTGCATATATAATAGCAAATACCGGAAAAAGCGTACCACAAATAAATGAAGCAGTCATTCCAATAAATACTAAATACAATTGCGAATGATTAATTTTACTAATTTTTCTAATTAATTCCCAAGTAGAATAACGATATTCCGTATTAGATCCTTCTTCAATATCACTATATTCATTAACAACGGGTGCGGGTCTTGACAATCTATGTGAAAGTCTATAATTTCTTTCAATTATAGAATCTTCTTCAAAGTCTTTTTCTTCGTTTTGAATTTTTTGCGCTGAAACTAATTTTGAATAAGCTCCTTCTGGATTTTGAATCAATTCATCATGATTACCAATTTCAACAATTTCACCATTATTCATTACAACAATTTTTGTAGCATTACGTATGGTAGATAACCTATGAGCTATAACTATTGTCGTTCTGTCTTTTGAAGCTTTATCCAAAGCATCCTGTACAACACTTTCACTTTTAGTATCAAGTGCACTAGTAGCTTCATCTAATAATAAAATTTTTGGATCTTTTATGATCGCTCTTGCAATTGCAATACGTTGTTTTTGTCCTCCTGATAATAAAAATCCTCCTTCCCCTACATTTGTTTCATATTTATCTGGTAATTTCATTATAAAATCATGAGCATTTGCCATTGTACATGCTTGTACGATCATTTCATGTTTTTTATTTTCATCAATATCTTCATAAACTGATCCTATTAATCCATAGGCAACATTTTTCGCAATTGTAGTATTAAAAAGAACGGGTTCTTGTCCCACGAGACTCATTTGTCTTCGAAGCCATTTTAAATTAAGCCCTTTGATAGCGTGACCATCAAATAAAATCTCTCCTTCGATAGGATCATAAAAACGAAGAACTAGTGATACAATCGTACCTAGAGATGAAAAAATTAATTTTTTTTTTTTAGATAATTGAAACGATATTTACGAATAAAAAAATAAAAAATTAATCAAAATTAATATAAATAAATTACTTTTGCCAGAACCAGAAGAACCAACTAATGCAACAGTAGTTCCAGGTTCGATATCCAAAGATACATTTTTCAAAGTTTTTATTTCTGGACGTGAAGGATAAAAAAATGAGAGATTCTTTAATTGAATTCGACCTTTAACATTATCTAATATATCACCTTCCTTTGATTCAATATTAATTGGAGGAGTTCTTTCTATTGTTTCATAAATTTTTCCTGCAGCTCCTTTAGCGCTATTAATTGCCATAATATCAGGCATAATTTGATTAACAGAAAAACATGCCGCTACTACTGAGAAGAATACACTAATAACCTGTATACATATAATGCGGATAATTATTATTTAGTTAATATTGTTTTCGCATAAAAAAAAAAAGAAATAATAATATAAACTTACTTTTCCTGAAGTTGTCTCATCATTGATAATTTGAGTTGAACCAAACCAAAAAGCCAAGCCATAAGCTGAATTCAAAATAAATTCATTAGTACCTATACCAAAACTATTTAATATACTTGATTTTACGCCGGATAATTTAGCATCTTCTAATTTAGAATCATAAAGTTTTGAAACATTTTTTTGTTGAGAGAATGCGATAGTTGTTCTAATTGTAGATATTGATTCTTCTGCTATAACAGAAGATTTAGAATAATAATCTAACACCTTTCTTTTATAATTAACTATTAATCTATTAAATATTCCACCATTGAGCATGACCATAGGAAATATAACAAAGATTACTAAAGTCATTTTCCAATTTATTATAAATGCTATAGTAAAAGCCGCGAAAAATTGCACCATAAACTTTATGAAAAAAAATTTATATAGTTAGTGGCGCAGTAAAGAAGAAGGAAGAGGGTTAAAAAGATTTTTAAAAGACTTACGGAAAATCCCATTGAAACTTTTTCACTAATGCCATCTTGAATTAAATGAGTATCATTAGTAATTCTCATAGTTACTTCACCAGCACCAAGTTTATCAAAATAAGCGATATCTTGTCTTAAGATCGCACGAAAATATTGTTCACGAATTCTTCGAGTAATTCTATTTTTTTTAAATATATATATATATATGCATATATTTTTTATATTAGATAAAAAAAATTGAGTGATATTAATTTATTAATTTGGTGATTTTTACCTTTCTCCAGTCGCGACCCAACATGCCATATAAAAATAATTGGTAAAAAAAGCAACTATAGCAAAATAAACGAATAAAAGTGTAAAATAATTGGCTTTATCCAAGAATTCAATTTTATCGATTTTTCTGGTTTGAAATTGACTAAAGCTATCAATTAATTGTCCGAAGAGAACTGTCATAAAAGGCTGGATAAGAAAAAAAAACCAAATATAAAACATTATAAATTTTTTTCTAAATTTGCTTAGTTTAAATAAAAAAAACAAATACTTACGACAATGATACCGGAAATGGTGGCGCAAATCAGACCAAATATCATTAAAATCCAATCTTGCTTCGTAGCATGACTATATAATTTCCAATATGATATTTTGTTATTTTCTATATGGGTTTGTTCATTTATAACTTTTTCGTGAACTGTATCAAGTTCCTTCTCCATATTCGCATCATTCGTATAATTGTTAATTTGTACTACTGCGGTGTCTTCACCGGATGATCCGACTTTTTTTGTCATATTAACGTTTTAATTTCAAAGATCAAAAAATGATAATAATAATAATAATTTCGGTAAAAGAGTGTTTTCGGTATTATAAAAAAAAAATAAAAAAACAAAACATTTTAATTAGGACGAAAAAGAATAATTTCATTCAATATTTATAATAAAAAAAATAAAAAGACGAAAACATTTTAATTATAACGAAAAAAAATATTATATAATCTCATCGGACGAATAGTGATTTTAATTTTTAAAAATAAACAAACTATTGAAAAACGATTAAATATATATCCAAGTTTTAAATTGCGAAACATGACTATCAAACAATTAAATGACGAAAATTAAAACGAAAATCTTTAAATGAGATAATTGATCATCATAAATATAAACGATCATCATAATAAATTAAATGAATTTCATCCGATTTGTGTCAATTATGCCATTTTAGTAATAATAAACAAGATTCATTCATTCATTTCATTAAATTATTACGGTCAAAAAAAGGAAATTAATTTAAAAAAATTTAAAATGGTTAGTTTCGACTAGGACCGATATTTTTAAAACTTAATATATTAATTCCTATTTGCCACCGCAGTATTCCTAATGACTGAGAATATCGGTTTTTCTATCCCCATTTAATATTTTATTTAAATTAAACATTTACGTTCTAATAATAATTGGTTAATTATTTTTAATTATAATAATAAAATATTAAAGCGTCTAAATTTAAATCGTCTAAATTTATCTATTTGTAAAAAAAGTCGATCCGTTTTTCCGTAGGCTCAAATTTCCGGAATTAATAACCTTATATCATCAACGGAATTTATCGATTTATTTGCATTTTCCGTGAATGGATCCGTGAAAGGCTCATTTTTACGAAGTTTTTATAGAAATAACGGATAAAATTTTTTATAAAGTCGTATTCATTAAAGTAAATAAGTATTTCAATTGTGAATATTTATCACTAAATTTTTACATTATTTTTTTTTTTCAATAAGTGTTTTTGGTGATTTTTCGTCCAAATTCAGCAAAAGTAATATTACCCACTTTCTCATTTAAAGAAGGTTGCATAAATACTGCAAAAGTATTTCTAGCTATAACGTTAATTGGTATATCACTTTTTATATCAGAAGAAATAGCCTTAACCATATGAGGAGTCGCCCGAAGATTATCAGCAGATGCTAGTTGCATGGCTGCACCAAGCTGAAAAGCTAAACAATCCCTTGGTATTATTACTTTAATGATTTTATCGTTTCGATTCTTAATATAAAGTCCCGCTTGATTGTCTGGACATTCAATTTCAGGATAAGCAGGATCACGTTCATCAACAAACATTGATGATGTTAACCCTATATAATAAAAAAAATTTTAGGCAAATGTATATAGGCTTGACAGTCGACCGAGGTCTTTTGCAAACCAATTTACCTGTAAGCGATGAGTGATCAGTATGCCATCCACACCAAGAATCATCAATATCATCAATATCATCAGTATCGTTCTTTTGATTCATTGTCTGAATAGGAAAGTAATGTAAAAGACGAGCACTGATGGTTTGTGATTCATCAATAATTCTTTCTAAGTAATTTGGTTCCGCTTTTGGTAACTTTGTTAAAACTGTTTGATTATTAATAATAATAAATACGAAAAAAAAAGAAAGAATATATATTATGTAAACATACTAACCAAATGAATCACATGCACGAGCAACCAATTTCCCAATATCTATAATAAAACATCCTAAATCTTTAAACGCTTCTTCAAATTCTGGAAGATCTTCATTTGGCCAAATATTTGGATGACAGTACATCGGGAATTCTCTCAGTTCTTCTTCAGTAGCATCAGGATAATCATATTTTGGATTACCATAATATGAACCTTTTAACGTATCTGAATGTAATAAAAAGATATTTAATTATAGTTTAAATAAATGAAACTTACGTGTAATTTCCAACACATACCTTTTTTACCGTTAAAGATTTCTTTGCCACAGCTCCATCCAAATTTGTAATAACTTTGTTCATCAACAGTTTTCTCTTTAATTTCTTCTGGTAAGGAAGCGAAAACTGACGCTAAACGTAACAAACGAGAACGATTTTCCACGTAAACTTCAGGAAGATTTTTTACCAATAATATTCCAAGACAATGTGATTTTGATCCAAATGCTTCCTGAAAAAAATATAATATAATTTTTTATATAAAAATAATTATAAATATAAATTATATATTTATTTAATTTATTTTTATTTTTATTTTTATTTTTTTTTTTTAAAACAATTGTACCTCAATCTCATTATATAGATCAACGTTATTAATAAGATCCGTATAATCTAATATAACAACACCTTCAGGACTTTTGGTACTTTTATTGCTTTTAGTAAACATTTTTTTCACGATTTTTTTTTGGGTGAGAAATAAAAATCTGCTCGTGTGATGTGCATGATGACTATCATTCATGATGTAATTTATTGAATAATCTGATGGTAAGCATGTACCACATGTGGAACAGTTCGGACATTCGGATTTACTTAAACCCTTTTATATGTGAAGGCCGGCTATACTAATGTTCGCCCCAGGTTCCCATTGGATCCGATGTGGAGTTAGCTCGGATTTTATGTAATGACGGCCGAAGGCATGGTCCGGATAATTACAAATGATTATCAAATCATAAAATTCCAGAAATCGGACCCGGTTCACCAGCCAGAATAGGGGCGGAAATTAGTATAGCCGTGAAGGCCATCTGATACTTTTTAATTCATTAACGTCACGGTCGAAGATAAGATTATTTGGCATTTTTTTAAACAACAGATTGTTCCCCATTTTTCTTTGTTGTTATTCCAATTCTGAAAATTAAGATTTTAAAGTTTATATGTTTATGTTACATAAAGAAACGCATGCGTGGTACCAAAAAAAAAAAAAAGGTTTTGTATCAACCGTTTTTGTTTTAAATAATGAATAGATATTATAAATTATAAATTTTCTAAATCAAGAAATTTTAATCTCATGATCAAAATAACAAATATGAAAAAAAAATTAGAAAAAATAAAATTTTTTCAAAGATTAATTTTTCATTTTTAATTTATATATTTAGATGTACAAGTAGATAACATGATTGAAACAAATCAATCTTTGCTTTATATTTGTACTAAAAAGCTATTATATGTAAATCGACGATTGAATTTTTGATGCCAGGTTGCAAATAACAATAACACGTGATATAAATAAAGTTTTATGAATGTCGTGTTACTGTGCTACTGTAATTCATGTTTCCATGTCTGAATTTAATAAAAATTCATGTTTCCCTTAACTTTCGAAAACAGTATTAAATCAATAAACGATATTAATCAATGTAAATATAATCTTTATTAATAGTTAAAAGCGAATTCCTACTCATCATCAATCGTTTCTTCACGAATCATTTTCAAATTTTATTTTTTATTTGTAGAAAATAAAATTCTAATGTACAACAAAATTCAATTACCGATATTAAATAGTCTTTTTTATTTTTTATTATAATTGATCGCTTAATTTAGTTGTAACAGTAGCTTCGTTGTCATATTCATGTTTGTAAAAAAAAAAAAAATATTTTTCTGGAAAAAAAAAAGCATCGTCAATCTTTGTTAGACGAAATTATTTGTTTATAGTCGTACAAAATATTTGCTAACCTCCGAACTCCGTATATATATATTATATATATTTATTAAAATAAGTTTTTTATTTAAATATCGTAAAATTTTATAAAAGGTAAATTATTTATTTGAATAATGTAATTAATTAATTATAACTAAAATTACTATTTATATATAAAATTAATTTAGTATCGAATTAAAAAAAATGCCAAAGAATTTATGGAAAATCCTTGATTATGAAAAGTATGAGGTAAAAGAAATTCACTTTATTATTGATATGATAAATTGCTAAATTTTTTTTTTTAATTAAATAATTATAATTTTTTAAACCGCGCATTTTATTTTAATAGGACTATGTTACGTTTCCTTCAATTGATGAACAAGAGATAGACGAAAGAGTAGTCTATATGGATGACTTAGAAAAAAGAAAACAAGCGTATGGAATATGTGGAGAATGTAATGAACCTGGCACAGGAGAATTTTGGTGTCAACCTTGTGATGCTAAAAGATTTAGAGAAAATTTTAAAAATTGGACTAGTGAAAATGAAGCTATCGATGAATTTATTCAGCAATCTCAACTTAGTGCTATACATCATACAAAATGTCTTGAATGGATACCTTTCGAAAACTTTAAAAAAGTTACTTATATTTCGAAAGGTAGTCATGGCAAATTATATTCAGCTGAATGGTCCAACGGATGTATTAATTCCTGGGATATTGAAAATCAGGAATGGAAGAGGTGTGACATGGAAGTTGCGTTAAAAAATTTTGATAATTCTTTCGATACTCCTGATATAATTACAGATTTCTTAAATGAGGTAATTAGAATGAAAGAATTGATTTGTTGTTTCTTTAGAATTATTTACTAAAATTTTCATTTTTTTAGATTAACTTACGTTTACAAATTCATACCCTTGACGTTATTCGATGTTTCGGATTAACTCAAGATCCTGATACTAAAGATTATATAATGGTTTTAGAATATTGTGATGGTGGAAGTTTGAGAAATTATATAAATAAATCAAAAAATTTTACAGATTATGAATCAAAAATTTTTAAATTATTCCAAATTACGAGGGGACTTCTAGATATTCATAATGCTGAAAAAGTTCATAAAGATTTTCATTCAGACAATATATTAATTACCAAAGATGAATTCTTATATATAAATAATTTAAGAATGTGCCAACCAGAAAATGAAGAGCAACCAATTAAAATAGGAAAAATATGTGGAGTAATACCTTATATGGCACCAGAAGTTTTATGTGGATGCCAATATACAAAAGCAGCAGATATTTACTCATTTGGAATAGTGATGAATGAGTTTCTTTCAGAGGAAGTTCCCTTTAATGATATTTCTCATAACCGCATTTTAGCCATTAAAATATGTAATGGACTTAGACCAAAAATTTCTGAAGATATACCAAAATTGTTTGTAGATTTGATCAATAAATGTTGGGATGCTAAAGCTGAAAACAGACCAACTGCTAAAGAATTATATCAAATATTTATTAAATTGAATTATGATAAATATTTTAGCAATAGTGAAATCTATTTTCAAATAGAAGAAAGTGATAAAATCATGAAGAATGAAATAAAAAGCAGTTCAAAAAAAAATAATTCTAAAAATACTCATGTACTCTCCAATTCAATTTATACTAATAAGTTTTTATATTCCGAAAACTCTCCGGAATCATTATCTCTTCGATTTATTTGCAGGTAAATTTAAATTTATTTTCTTAATTAAATATTTATTTTATTATTAATAACAATTTATTTATTCATAGATGTTGTAAGTCAGATGGTCATCAGGTAAAAAAAATTTACTTATTTGTTAAATCTTACTACTAATAATTTACATTAAAATAGTAATAATATTTTTAATTAATTGTTAAAAGGATCGTGTTATAATTTCTACTATTGATTTAACTACAGAGATTGATGACAAAATTGTCTATATGGAAGATTTAGAAAAAAGAAAACAATTGTATGGAATATGTAAAGAATGTAATGAACCTGGCACAGGGTTTTATTGGTGTCGACCTTGTAATGCTAAAAGATTCAAGGATAACTTTAAAAATTGGACTAGTGGAAATAAAGATATTGATGAGTTTATACAACAATCACAACTTAATGGTGTATATTATCTTGAATGGATACCTTTTGAAAAATTTCAAAATATCACTTATATTGCAGAAGGTGATTTTGGAAAGATTTATTCAGCTGAATGGCCTGAAGGATTTATTAATTATTGGAATATTGAAAATCAAAAATGGTATAGATTCAAAAGTTTTGATAAATATGCATTAAAAAGTTTGAATAATTCTTCTGATATATCATATTTTTTAAATGAGGTAATTTAACTTACTTTGTCTTATATATAAAGATTGTTATTTGCATTTATTTATTAATAAAAGTATTCCTTTTTGATGATAATTAGATTAAATCTCATCTTCAGTTTTACACTTTTAACATTGTTCGTTGTTATGGAATAACTCAATATCCAAATACTAAAGAATATATGATGGTTTTAATGTATTGTAAAGGTGGTAATTTAAGATGTTATTTAAATGAATCTAAAGGCTATATAAACTATGCATCAAAAATTGATATGTTACAAGCTATTGCAGAAGGACTTCTTGGTATTCATAATGCTGGAAAAGTTCATAAAGATCTTCATTCAGGGAATATATTATTGTATAATGGTTCTAATCCACTTATAAGTGATTTAGGATTGTGTGAATTGGAGCAGCCAGATAAAGTAGAAAAAATCTATGGAGTATTGCCATATGTAGCACCAGAAGTTTTACATGGACGTCAATATACAAAAGCAGCAGATATCTACTCATTTGGAATAATAATGAATGAGTTTCTTTCTGAAGAAATTCCTTTTAATGATATTCCTCATGATTATATTTTAGCTGTTAAAATATGTAAAGGACTTAGACCAGTAATTTATAAAGGTATGCCAAAATTACTTGCAGATTTAATTATGAAATGTTGGGATGCTAAAACAAAAAATAGACCAACCGCTAAAGAATTATATTATATATTAAAAAAATTGAATAATGAAAAATATTTTAGCGAATCTGAAATTTATCTTCAAATAGAAGAATGTGATAAAATTAGTGAAGGAAAATTTAAAAATAATTCACGTAAAGATATTTTTTCAGAACATCCATATGCAATTTACACTACTAGACTTTTAAAATTCGAAAATCTTTCAGAACCAGTAAATTCTTCGGATTTACCTTCTCAATTTTCTTGAGGTAATTTACTTAATTTTGTTATTTTAAACTAACTTACTTGATTAATTATTATTTGTTTAACTGTATAATAGACGATGACGATAATATTTTACCAAATCAATCAGATCCAAGTAAGTAATTCTATTAACAATTACTATATTATTCACATTTTATACTACTTAACATTATTATTTAATTTATAGTTTCAGAATGTTTAAGTAAACATTGTTTTAAAGTATATATATTATTTAAATGTATTTAATTGATACTCATGTACATGATTTACCGACCTATTTATTTTATTTGCTTTTACTGTACTGTAGATCTTAATGAAATTAATCAAGATGATTAGAATGAATTTCTTTCTTTTTTTGACCCTTTAAATAATCAAAGAACATATAAAAGTTATCTCTATAACATAATTTTCTTTCCATTTATTTTATGCTTTTTTTATATTTGACTTCTTGAGTCCTGTTGTATTTAAGAATATTTTATAAAATAAAATTTTTATATCAGTACTTCGTGATCTTTGATTTAAATATTGATCGGTGTATCTGATCTTAGTATAGTATGATTTTGTAAAATAGTATGTATATTGCATTTTTTGTTAGTACGTATGATTTTAAATCGTACGTACTACTTTGATTGTTAAATATAGAAAAATCGTACGTATGTAGTGAAAAAAAAAAATCATACATACGTATATAAATCATACTTTTTTACCAGCCTCGTCATACACATTTTCGATGGCGCTCGCTCCTTCTTTTTAATATGAAAATAAAATTTAAATAAACATAATTATGTGTTGTTTTATGTAATAAAAAAATTTAAATTATACTATCATACATACATATTATTATATATTGTGATAAGTATATATATACCATAAAAAATCATACATACAAAGTAAAAATTCTACAATCATACTAACTAACAAAATCGTACTATACTAATATTATATATACTCAATATTGATTGGTTAAACCATCAATACAAAGACAAAGTAAAAATACTAAAATAGAATTAATTAAAATGATATCAAATAGATTTGATGTATATAAGTGCTTTAACATATTTCACTTGTTATTTTAGAACCTTCTTTATATATTCGGATACATGAAGCTGATCAGTTATCAAGTAGACAAAGATTATATTAGCAATAACACATAAATTATCATTATTATTATTAAAGTAAGAATTATATTTAAAAGGTTGAGTAGGAAAATCGGCATCATTTTTACAATACTAGTAATGTGTGCATTACCAAACATCCAATAGGACTTTAACACGTATACAAATTTACTATATTGTATAATTTCATTTTTACTTTATATTTACATATTTCATATAAGCGATTTAATAGCTAAATTGGATTCATGTATAACCTGTATTACCAAATTATGGCAAGCCGCAATGGTCAAAAGTGTGCCGCATTTTGCGGCAGGTGCGCCTGTTTTTAGGCGCCTGATGCGAAAAGTGCGGCAGGTACACCTATTTTTAGGCGCCTGAGTGCGGCAGGTGCACATAGTTTTTAGGCGCCTGATGCGCAGGATGCGCCTGGTTTTAGGCGCCTGAGGCGCCTAAGTGCGGCAGTTGCTCCTGATTGCAGCAGATGCGCCTGTTTTTAGGCGCCTAATTGCGGCAGGTGCAGCAGATTGCGGCAGGTGCGCCTGTTTTTTGTTCATAGGTTTTTTTTGGAAATAAGCATCTTCTGAGCTTTTAGCATAGATCTACGTACATTGCCAAATTAATTTAATAATCTGATAAAAATAGTAAAGTTAAGCTTTTTTTGGTTCAAACTCGTTCCAATGGATCGGATGTTGTTTTATCCTTGAAATTATCACTTTTTTTTCAACCAACTAAATTTTATTAAATTAAATGTTCAAAATAATTATGAATATAAACATATAAAAAAATTTTTATCTTAATGGATTATCCATTGTATCATTTATTTTTGTTTTATTTTTATTTTTTTAAATTTTTTTTTGCTTATAATCTTGAATAATTTCATTGTCTTTCTTTTATAATTGGTATTTTTAGTTTTCTTTTTAAATATATTTGTATAGTGAAAC